AGTTTTACGCCGACTCCGAACGGCGATTGTATTTTTATGAGAAGCTGTTTTTCATGGCAGAAATACACTCGGAGGTTTGCCATTGCCTGCCGAGGGACGACCGCTGTTAAGAAAAAACCTTTTTTCTATATTTTTTCGAGATGTTGCTTTGACCAGGGCTTGAACTCAGGGGTTGCGGAGTGGAAGCGCGCACTGCTTACCACTACACCACAGCGGCCGTCGGCAGGCAATGGCAAACCTCCGAGCGTATTTCTGCCATGAAAAACAGCTGCGTACTATATACTGTTGCAAAAATACTACAGTGTACTATACTTTTCAGGTTTTTTTGAAAAAGTACTATAACTTTCTAAGCAAATGTTGGCAACCCTACATATACATGTGACGATACTGAAAAAAGAGCACGAAAACTTGACAGCCCTGGCACAGGGCAGAATAAATGCAACATTATTTCGAGAAAAGAAAACGCTATAAGTTTGATAAAAGAACAAGTAAAGAAGTATGAGTCGGGCGAAACCGAAATTCATATACCCGGCGCATGTATCAAATGTCGTCGTTTCAACTTTCTCTAAACTACCTTTGCATTCACAATAAATATATTGGCCCGCTGTTCTAGTCATGTTATAGTTGACATAATTTTCAATGAGATATCTGTCAAAAAAGCTGCAAATATTCTTAGAGTCGACTCTGTTTTGACTATAACTATGGGTCACAGTTTTTTTTTTAATATTTAAATCTTACTTAGAAGCAAAAATTTATGTTAAATTTAAATGGCTCTTAAAACAGTTTTTAGGAAAATAAGTTTGAAATATTCAAGCAATCTCTATAGATTTAAGTGCGGATTTGTATTAGTATATTCTAATTCACATAGCACCTTAATTCTTAACAATCAATCCTGTGGCAACGCAATTAAGTGTAGATACATATGTATATCCTTCGGGCGGCGCCACGCCCATTATCCAAAAATTTATATTCATCTAATTCTCTGCTAAGTGGTTATTGCAATAATCGATTTTGAGTGAACTAGCTTCAGTAGTTACTGATTTATCGCAGTTTTCATGCTTTTGTAAATTACCGTTACACAGTAGGTGAGCGTGGTTATTGCCCGATTTCAAAGATTTTCAACAGCTTTTTTTAGCTATACCCTAGGCCAAGCTCCTATCGAGTTTGGTAAGGATTGGTGTAGCGGCTACTGAGATACAGCATTTCAACATAAGTGGGTGGGGTGACACAGGTTTTTCAAAAATTTCAGAATAATATTATGTTTTGCCGATATTCTACTTTACATAGTAATTTTCAATCTTTTTTATCCAATATTTACAAAAATATCATAGTTTTTGCATTTTTCTAAAATACCGTTATTTGGGAAGTGGGCGTGGTTACAGTCCGACTTCGCCCATTTTCAATACCAACGTACCTTGAATAAAGAGCAACCTACATACCAAATTTCGTTGAGATATCTCGAGTTTTTGCAGGAGTTATCGTGTACACGGCAGACTTTTTTATTCATAAGTTTTAGCTGTAACAAACAACCGTTATGTGAACAAAGTTATAATGCCCCTGTGCTCGGCTATAAAAATATAGATAATAATCCGATGCTATTACTTTTCTATGCCTTAAAGGAGTCATTTGTATTTACTTAGATCAAAAGTGGCGTTAAGCCTAATATCGTTCTTCTTCTTCTTCATTGGCGCTGTAACCGCCAAAAACAGCACGCCAGTCGTTTCTCTTCTGTGCCAACTGACGTCAAATGTAAATGCCAAGTGAAGCCAGGTACTTTTCCACTTGTAGTTCGTTTCGCCTAAATTCTCGATCGAGATAACGGCTGAATTACACGTCAAATCTACTACTTCCATCCAACCGAATTGATCGAGACGAGTTGCAGAAATGCACTACTGATCTTTCCTACGCAGAGGAGACCTTCCTTTAACTCTGTTACCACCATCGCTCCACCAGGTTCATACAGCTCATCGTTAAATCGTCTGCGATATTCGCCATCGCCAACGCGCAAAGGCCCGTAAATCCTTCACAGAATATTTTTCCCGAAAACTCCAAGAACCGGCTCATTGGCCATGTTTCTGCGCCATACATCAGCACGTACCTGATGAGTGACCTATAGAGTGTTTTTTTTGTTAATGGAAAGGGCGAAATGTTACGGACAGATCCTTATGACTTGTTATGTTCCGCCCCGTGCATGGTAACCCAAGCATTACTATTTGACTGTTTATCTGATGACAGGAGATACTTCGTTTTGTCCTCGGTCACCACAGACCCATTCGCTTAGCTTTCTTTGTCCAACTTAGGAAAAGGCAGAACAGACTTCGCGATTTTTGTTACCCATGGTGTCGTTGTCATTGACATACTCAAGCAACTGCAGGCTCGTGTAAAAAATTGTTCCTGAGCGGTTCAGTTCTGCGGCTCTTATTATTTTCTCCAACAGCAGATTAAAAAAATCACATGAAAGGAAATCACCTTGACATTTTTTGCTGCACATAGGCGCGTGCGTATCCTTTCTGCAACGAGAAAGTGACCCGAGTCGACGCTTGGTCCTCGGAGTATACGTACGTCTAAAACGCTCGAAGCATACCTTCCATCTATCACAACATGATCGATTTGGGTTCTCGTTTTCGATCTGGAGATAGCCATGTAGCTTGATGATCCTTTTATACTGGAACGTAGTACTACATACTGCCACGTTTTTGGCCCCAGCGAAGTCGATAAGCTTCAGTCCATTATCGGACGATTCGTCGTGGAGGCTGAATTTTCCGACAGTGGCACCAAAGATCCCTTGGCGTTGAAATCACGAAGCACGGCTTTGATACCGAGCGCTCATAGAAGAGGTCCTTGGACGCCTCGTGGTTCTTTTCTGTCGGGACGAGGGCGCCGATGAGCGAAATGTTAAAGGATCTTGCCAGACGTTCGCTCACTGTGGTGACGGAGTCTCCCTTCTACCACAAATCCATCACCACAGTGTTTAAAATCAAATTATTTAATAAGTTAAATGAATTATTAAAGTATGAGCATCAATAGAAATGGGTTTGAAAACGCTTTATTTCTAAACTACATATATATCGGAGAGTTGCCACCACTTACTTCATTTATCCGTTTTAAGTGAAATGTGTACCACAATGTCAGAGGTCGGGGCTCCACCAATTTAATAAGAAGCGAATTAATAATAAACTTAAATATGCAGAGAACTGTGTACTCATTTTAATTTTCGATCAAGATTAAGATTAGGATTAAGATGAATTATTCATTATTATGCAGGAAAATACTCTTGCTTTAAAACTAAATTCAATATAATTGCGGCATTTAGGTAATTGAAATATGTGTCAGAAGATGGGTGTCAGACGAAAGTAGTTTTAGAACAGTTTGGTTTGAAAATTTTTTACATAACGAAAGGGTGGTAAGAAATCTTTGGTTTGAACGTTTAGGATATTTTCGTGCNTAGGTAATTGAAATATGTGTCAGAAGATGGGTGTCAGACGAAAGTAGTTTAAGAACAGTTTGGTTTGAAAATTTTTTACATAACGAAAGGGTGGTAAGAAATCTTTGGTTTGAACGTTTAGGATATTTTCGTGTTTATATAGTTAAATTCAAATTATTTCATAAGTTAATTATTAAAAGCTGGGTGTTCATCGAAATGGGTTTGAAAAGGCTTTATTTCAGAACTTTATTCAGAAGGGTTGCCAGGTACATATTTAAAAAATTTAATTCAACTTAACCCATCATTACTTAAAATTGGTATAATTGGTCAGACGAAAGAGCTTTAAGAAGATTTAAATTTAATAATACTTTTGAAAGAGCCTGCCACCTGTTTGAAAAGTCGAATTTAGTTAACTTATACATAACATACATATGTATGTATATTAAGGCGGGTATTTTTTTTCACTATGCGCGTATAGTAAAGCAGGACTCTACGTGTAATTCTATGCATAATTTCCGAAGAAAACATGGGTCTAAAATCTATTTGGAGTTTGCCAAATCGCGAAAATATGTTTCGCAGAAAAGGTGAAAATTTTTACTTTCGCGCCCTCTGGTGGAAATCTTAGGAAAACAATAAGTGCAGAAATGGATTCCTCATACCAAAAACCCTCTTGTACGACAATATAGCAAAATGCTAAGAAAACCCACTTTCGCAATTTGGCAAACTCCAAATTGTATTTAAACCCATGGTTTCTTCGCCAAATTTGCTTAGAATCCTCCTGTAATATATGCGTATAGTCGAAAAAATTTCCTTTACAAATTGACTCGCCCTAATGTATTTGATATATATAAATATGGCGCTGGAGTCGAGTTATTTCGAAAATCCGTATTTTTGGTGCAATCTGGTTGAAATTCATAACGCGTATTCATTTAATTGCTTCCGCAAAAAATTTACCCAATAGATGGCGCTGCAGATGAAATATAGAGAAACCCCGTATATCTGGTCTGCTTTGGCCCTATGTTTATCATATACGAATTTACTTTTCAGATAGCTAAATGAAGGAAGGGGGTTAGTTATGCATACAAAGAGCGCAAAATTGTGTGACGCTAGGGTGCGCTCACGACCACATTCGCCCTCATTGCAATCTTGCATCTACATCGGCTTGATGAAATTGCTCGAGGCGACCGTTATTGCAGGAGTAAGACTCGAAGAAACCAGTTCTTGGATCAAAAAAAATCTCTGGTCATTCCGATTTTCTAGGAACACTACGTCGTCACGGACAGCATCGACGATTTTCTTACCTTTACCATCCATCCTATGTGGCGCGTCGCACTACAGCAGCTGATACTGTATTGTGTCGTATTTTATTATTCCATTTTCTAAACAAAAAAATATTCTCAAACGTCTTCATGTAATGAAGCAATTTCCTTCAGGTGATTTAGTCTTGCGGTGCGTCCTTGCTCTAGTTTTGATTAACCTCTTCGTGGCTGAGATTATAAGCCCTGATAATTCAATACCAATTTAGAGCAGTCGTTTAAAAAATATTAGCACTCAACTCTCATTTTTTCCATTGCAGATCAGCAATTTGCCATAGCGGACTCCAATTCCAACAGCGTTACGAAATCATTTGTGCCGTGCAAAGTTTGTGGCGACAAGGCGTCCGGCTACCATTATGGTGTAACCTCATGCGAGGGTTGTAAGGTGAGAAACACAAACACACACACAGGCAATGTAACAATTTGTCAAATCAGATCAAGAAAAAAAGCAATGTACAGTAACAAATAAATATTTTGTATTCTATTTTTATTATCTGTGCCTTTAAATAAATTATTTTTTATTTGCTTTATAGGGTTTCTTTCGCCGCAGCATACAAAAACAAATCGAATATCGTTGCCTGCGTGATGGTAAATGTCTGGTGATACGTTTGAATCGAAATCGTTGCCAGTATTGTCGCTTCAAGAAATGCCTGTCGGCGGGCATGAGTCGAGACTGTAAGTGAAAACCAAAATTTAATTTTATAATGCCATATTTTCAATTTATCTTTGTAAGTTTGTGTAACGTGTGTATAGCACAATATGTATGTATTTATTTGCCTGCAATCATAGACAGAAGTATGCACTCGCTTAACACTTCTGATGTTTTCGACTTACTGTGGCGCAAGCGCCGCCGCGGGTGATCATACCTTTAATTTATTGTATCTATTTCTTTACTACTCAAATATCGGGGTATCGCGTCACCTCGCTTGTCTGCTGTCTTGCCGCCAGTTTGACCCGTTGCCATTTTGTCCATCTGTCCGTTCACTTTATCGCAGGTAACTTTTTTAGTCTTTGGTTTGGTGGGGTGCAAAGAGTCAACTCGAGTCAAGCAACTATCACAAGGTGACAAGCTGCAATGCCGGCATTGGTGGAAAATTACCCATTGAAAAATCGTGCAAAAATATCTACTCAAATAAAAGTAGCAATAAAATGTCACTGCTGTTTATTAATGTAGCAACACTGGTTTCAATTGTCGCGGCAGTTGAACTAGAATCAGTTGCTTATGTTATGCCTTCCGTGAAATTAATTCAAATTCAATTTTAGACTTTTTTCGCTTAGCTTTGTAAATGATATCATTATCAAGCAAAATTTGTGACATGCTAAATAATTACTTCCACCAATTGTAAACAAATGGAATCGGTAAAAAAATGTCAATAACTGTTTACTACCTTAAAATTAAGGTGATTCACAAGGTTTCGTAAGTGTCGTATTATCTTAAAGTTTTTTACCGGTTAAATATATATTAAGAGCACTCGAAATCAACACAGAATTCTTTTTAACAGTCAGAAAACTTAAAATATGACAATTAACATACTTGGCGAACCCCTCAAAATATATTTTTAACCGCTGAGATGTTTGCGACTCACAACAATTCGACGCTTACGACAACATTATGAATGCCCTTATTATAATTTTTTTGTTTCGGCGCTATAAACAACATAATTATGAAGAAACAGAAATCAGAATGCACACTTTTCTTTGTGGCTCTTTAAAACTGCCTTACCGTGGAAACACAATGCCGGCGAACGGCGAACTCACCACAGCGAAATTACCGCTGTCAAAATTAGAACACCCGCCGGCATATGAAATTGAACACAGCCAAAGCGAAATGCGAAGTTTGCTCGGCGGCGATTCGTGGCGATAGATTTATTTCTATCGCTCTGCTGGGCGATGGCGGCAGTACATGCCAAATGTAGCCGTATGTTTTTTTTATTTTCAAAGATTTAGAAGAAAACAGCATATAACATGAATTATTTTTGATGGTTGAAAATACAGTCATCGATTCGTTAAATCTGGCTTAAAATAAAATAATTTATAATAATTCCCCCTTGCCTTATATTTATATTTGTTATCATTTCATCCTTTCTAAATATGGTTTCGTTTTTCAAAATATGGTCACCTAACTTATAAGTGCGACGAAGTGGTATCAGCTGTTTTCGCTACCGCTGTAATTCTGTTAAAGTAGGCGAAATAGCAGAGCGAACGGTGAACGACGGCATCGCCCAAATCGGCGAACTTCGCCGTTCGCCGGGTATTGGGTTTCAAGCATTAAACCTACCCAAAAAAATTTGAGCAATTTCGAAGTGGTGATGGAAGAGAACCTACAGAACTTGGATCGTTAGGGCAGAGTAACAGCTTGTATGGAGTTGGTATTTATATAGAGTAAAGAGATTCAACGGCGCCATATTAGATGCCTAGATCAGTGATGCTCAAAATAGCGCCCGCGGGCGGAACTCTTCAAAGCTCTCTGTAGATTTTTTATGGACGCGCACAAAGTAAAAGCTCTCTCTGAGCATCACTGGCCTAGATGTAGCTTCCATGAGTTCAAAACAAAACCGGGCAATCACCCGAAAGCTCAGGAAAGGCGAGCTTTGAATTTCTTCATATAGGAAAAAGAAGTGGGTGCTGTGGGGGGCTATACCGCTAGTCCAACTATATAAAATACAGAGATACGAAAAGTGGGAAAACTTGCTTCTGTGAGAATGTAACATCCACTTCTGCAGCTGCAAGAATGCACAAAGCCCTAGCATACGGTGGAATAGAGACACACCAAATGGTACGTACATTCGGAGCCAGGCAGAAAGAGCACGCAGTCTACTCTCCACACACTTTCCGTACTCATCTGACCAGACTATAGAAATGCCTGTTTGAATATTTAGACCAACCTCATCCGATTGGGGCTTTACAAAAGTATCTTCACGCGAGACAGTGTCGGGTGGGTCATTTAACCCTTATAATTTTCCACGCGTGAATGGAATTTATCCGGCTTTACTACAACGTGGAGAGGATTTAGTTACCCCACACCTAGTAGATATAATGAAGTATAATTAAGCCCTAGCCTTCATCCAAACATTGCGGAGGAGGGGCCGTGTAACGTCTATATCGAAGATTGGACGAAAGGATTACTTCTTAGCTAAATCCTTCAAGCAACATCCTTTTTTTATAGGCGAAGGAGAAAATTATTTATAATGAAATCTGGTCGAATACTCTGAAAGTTAGCCCACTACACCGTGGTCAACACGCCTACAGAGAGATCCACAGAGACAGCCCTCTAACAGTTAACAACGGCAATCAAGAGTGCTTTTCATTATGGCGAATTCCATTCACAAGAAGAAGACCCCTTCCGGGAATGAGAACTATAGCTCTCGATGGCATAGAGCTCAGCATCGTCTTGGAAGTGAGATATTGGGACATCATTCTCGACACAAAACTCTCATGGAAGAAGCACGTCGACATTACCACATCAACCTAGTGACTCTAGGCGTTCATTCACGAAACTACAATGCCTCGCTTGTGTGCACCAGCCCCTATGGAATCAATTGAGGCTATTCTCGAGCTCAGGCAGCTGCACTTTAGCATAGAGCAGGCAACTAAACAATCGCTAAATAAACTTTAACTGAGATGGTTGAGGTAGAGGGAAAGTGCATGGAACATGAAATTTCTCAGGGATCAGATACCTGTAACCCGATTTCCACGGAATATCAGTTGAATTATTAGCTTCCAAAGGAATTTCAAAATAGGGCTAGAGAACAGGGAAATATGGAACGACACCAAACAGAAAATGAAGAGGCAGACATGCTTGTTAGGTGCTAAGAAGGTGGCACCAACAACACCAACATGACATCAGAGAAGAGCTTAGCAGAGAAGAAAGAACTAGTAGAGAACTTCACTGGAACCAAATAATTGAGCAGCGCCAGACAAAGAAGCTATTGAGAGGATACAGTAGAAAAACATACGATAAGCTCATTAACGTCCGACGTCATTGTAGATTAATAAGTCCCCCAAAACAAACTCGCGATCTGGTCTAATCATCCATGCCGTTTATGTGACAGGATAGCTGAAACTTCTGGGCACATACTTCTCCAATATGGTGTAGTGGCGAGAAGTAGCTCGGGTCACTAAACCGCTACCGAATCACATGCACGCGGTGCCACCAAATAACCTAATAGATTCCTCACAGTAGAGGTCTGTGGTCGCCTCATTTTTCTCTTCCATCCGGTCGCTGGATATTATGAAGAACCTCGCTATGATGCAGATTGTGGCGAGGACTTTGTTCGAGAAGTGAGCGACTGTACTCGGCGATGCATGGCGGTTCTCAAGCCCGACGGCAAAACCAGGTTCTGGGATCAAAATAGCCTCCAGCTTGCAACCGCCCATACTGGTTCACAAACGCCGCTGACTTCAGTAAACCCTCAAACCGAATAAGCCCTAGTGTCCACACCGTAGCTGCTACTCTTTCTGCCATACCCAAGGCATCACACGGGTGTGCTATCGCATCTTGCACATGAGTTGCTCTCGTTGCACAGATTTCGCGAACGGTAACTGCATACCAAAAGAACGACCATACCCCATTGCACTTCTTAGAGTAATTGGCTTTTACATATTGTTACTTTCAACGTGCCATATGAAACCCACTAGAATGCGTTAATATCAAGGCATCCAGTTATCAACTATAAAGGTGTGCATCCATAAGTACCTACTATATGCGAATATATATATGTATGTAAGCATGTGTGTATATTTTAAAATTGCATAAGACCAGGAAGGATGTTGCAAGCCTCACGTACTTACTTATGTATACATAGAGATAAAAACAAAGCGCCAAAGGAAAATGTGTAATAAAAATCGGCCACCATCGGCTGAAGAGGCGGAATTAAGGCGAGTGGCACGTCAAAAGTAGAAAACGTGCAACATGTGGGTGGGTGTACTACATATGATTTTTTGTCGGCATTGCATGCCAATGCAGACTAGCAATGAGTGCATCGAAGCAAATGAACACCAAAGGTACGGAAAAAACTTTGCTTGAACCGGTAAAGAAAAACAAATAAGCCAAAAGTAGCAAATGGAAAACTGTTTCCGCTGACGAAATATGCAAGCTTAAATACATGTATGTACACATACATACATACATACAGGGTGGCTGTTTGGGGAAGGCATTTTTTAAAAACTTAATATACAATATTATAGTTTTCAATGATAAAGTCCCAGTTTGCCATATCTGTTGGCAATGCGGTTTATTGAATAGTCCTTTTCTCTGATATACTCTTTTTTTGTCGGAACCAGGCACAAAGCAACGCTTGCAGAAAACAGCACTCAGACTACATGCCGTCCACTTTACTGTTCTCATGTCACTTTTAATCTTGTCGATTTTCAAATAACCCTAAGCACATTATTTTGTGTTTTAAAAGAGCTCAGTTGTACGTCTCTCAACATATCGCGACCAAATTCCTCATACCTAATTCTTACAAAGATGTGATAAAAGCGCAAAAAGTGTTCCGTCGTGTCGTCCTCTTCAAGGCAGGATGGGAAAAAATAGAGTTGTCATGTACGCCTGTCAAAGTCAGCAANCTTCAAGGCAGGATGGGAAAAAATAGAGTTGTCATGTACGCCTGTCAAAGCCAGCAATCCAACAAGTTATCTGCAGCAGTGTTGCCATTTTAGCCGTTTTCCGGCTAGATTTAGC